ACCAAACACCACGCCTTTATTTCAGTACCATCAAGGCAAACAAACAATCGATTTCACACCACAAAAATGTCATAATTCAAGCCAAGTTCACAGAGCCTAATTTTTCTTTTAACTACAACGAACTGCTACAGCAAGATAAAAAGCCTGTCTAAATACATAAGACTAGTTCACAGCAAGACAACGTACAAGATTGTCTATGATCTGGCCTAAAATATACTTCTACTAAACAGCAATTAAATTGTCGTAACTGACCAAACAGAGGAAATGGGCCGGAAGGGAAAAGGTGGGAGGGGAGAGACAAGAGCTATACTATTCAGTCCTCAGTTATCGTGATACTTTTTTAACTACTGCAACGAGACGAGCTAAATTTACTGACACTCAAACAATTGAGGAAAAGCAACTAATTAACAATAGATAAACCCAAGCAAACTTTTACAGGTACAGGCTACAATGCTGAAACAATGTATGTCTCACAAGACACGACAATTTTACACGAGAGGAAAGCCTAGAAAAGTAAAGAGTACATTTATCTGGAAACTGAAAATAGGAAGATAAAAAAAAGCGACTGTCCTTTTCGGGGGCTACGTGGAAAAACCCACACTTTTGGTTTAATTTCACGGCTATCTTTATTCATTGAAATGGCAGCAATAACTTTACATTACAAAGAAAACAAGCCACATTAATTGGTATCCAGACGTTCTGAATACGAAACAACTTTTATTCGATGTGAATAAAGAAATTTGTTTCGTCGTTTCTTTTTATGGAGTGACGGCAACTAAGCTAAATATATAATATGTTAAAGACCAGTGAATCCGCTAGTTCTCACAGAAGAGAGTAAATAGCTATGAACACACCAGCACATCAATCAATAGTTCCACACACCTTTTTATACAGCACTGCACACTTATTCAACACGCTGAATCTGCAGGATCGGGTAAGATGGGGAAGTTGAGCTGACCAGAGCACACATAATCATAGTAAAAAATCAATAACAAATTAAATAGCGTTGAATTTTGAAAAGCACAAATTAATTCCCTCTCAACAGCAAACTCTATACGCTTTACATTCTATGCAGTCTATAGGCTACATAACATCAAGATTGGTTCGGGTAGCCTTTGACCTCACACGATAACGACCCCCCCCCCCTTTTTCCCCCCACACAAACAGTATTTTTATCGTTATTTTTGATAAGTAAAAAAAAATATTCCCTTTTTTTAAGCCAAGAGTTGTTATCATAAAAGTATTATATAGCTCCTGCTGCTTGATTTAGTTTAGCCCAGAAAACAAATACGTTTGACCCTGGTGTGTTGTGCTAAAAAGGCAGCAACTCCAGAAAATCTTCTTATTTATTTATTTATTTATTTATTTGTTTATTTATTTATTTATTTCAGAACCTTTCAGCTGATCCACCAGAAACAACAGCGAGTTGCATAAGTGTGCATAAGCTTTAATAGAAAGGTAAATCTAACACAGAATAGAATTAAAACCCAAAACTGTGTCTTTTACGATTAAAAAAAATGCAAAGAGAAGGGTTGGAAGCGTAGACAAAGTGGGTGGAGAAACATTAGTAGTACACAGGGCATACAGCACAGTCACACTCTCATATTTCAATAATTGCCTTCCATAGAGCGAAAATTTGAGGTCGGCATCGAAAATGAAATAAAGAGAGACAACGCGCTGAGCATGTAAAAAAGGTCGTGAAATTGTGCGGTGAATTAAGCAACAAGGGAGACATCGATCTAGGGACACGATCTACAAAACACTGTAAAAATCACCGACAATTAAAACCAGACAAAAGAGAAGAGAAAAACAGTTCTGTCAAAAAAGACAGCAAAAGTTTTCTTGTCTTAAACTTTCTCAGAGCGGAATTTATTAGAATATTTTCTAGAAACATCGATGTTACTGTAATTCTAATAATCATCATTCACAGATATATTGCACTGTATGTAGTTCCTTTTTTGGCATCGGGTGTCATGTAAACAACAACCTAGTTAAAATTATAATGTTCTCAACGTGGATTAAAAAGCCCTATCCTTTTTCAGGTGCCTTATTTTGCATCAGTAAGTATAGGTTCAGCTGTCTGTTCTAAAGGTCTACAAACAACACCCCCCCCCCTCCCCTTAAAAAAAAGTTGAAAAATCATTACAAAAAACTATAAAGAAATTCTTTGGGTACAGAGAGTTTCTGCCTTAATCAGCAATTTAGACAAAAGACAGTTTTTACTTTTTTAAAAATGTAATTGTAAGAGAGTAACACCCCCATCGACACCATTAGGGTTAGATAATTGTCAGAGCCAAACCAGGCCGAGATGCATAAACGCCCCCTCAGAAAAACGGGAGTAACTCGATAACAATTCTCTCCATTGGAGATTGAACTCCCCTCTTCTGCATGTGACAGCGAAGCACCTATAACTGCTGCACCGCAGAGGTCGGTACACATTCTTTACTCGTGCCATATGACATAATCTATATATAACATTTGGTAGAAAAATGTTTTCATGCTCATTTGTTTAAATACGTATATACTCTGGTATAAATCCCAGGACCAAAATTTTAAGGGAGCTGAGGATGAAAAAACTGGCACTACAGTTTTACACAAAACAAACCCTCACTCCCACTCCCAGTGTAACAGTATAAAATGCAACTGTATATACATAGTATATTTTTGAGAAAAATGAAAAACAGATCCTCCATATCCTTGAGCAGATGAAAAACAATTCTTTAAAAAAATATTTCATGTGCATGAAGGTTAATATATACGCCACAAACATACAGGTATCAAAGCTACAAACACAGGTACAGAAAGGCAGCTATTTTTTCACGTAAGAGAAATACCTTTGTCTCGTGAACTGATCCTTTAACGGTGTTCTTGAACAACCCATTACATGGTCCAGATCCATGATCTTGTGCACTTGAACCAGCCCTTTACATGCTCTGTTTCATGCCCTTACCACTCATGTACGACCTTGACCTACCTAGACTGGCCTACTTATATTCATGGTTTTATATTACGATTATCCTTAAAAAGAGTTCTTATTGTTGATTGTTGGTGACCTATACAGGCACGGGGTGAGAAAAGCTGATTATGATAATTATGATGACCCTTACATAATGCAGCGTCTATTTACTAAGGTACTTCGCTACTTATTTCAGTTATGTAACTTTATTAGTTTACGATAATCTGTACTTCTCCAACAAAAAAAGGTGTTGTTTTTTTAAAATCCGCCTTGTGCGGAAACATCTTTCAATGAAATTCAGACTTGGAAACTATAGCTGTAGTAAGTCGCTCAATTCAAGACAAAATTTGATAGAAATGAACCCCCCCACCTTTCCCCTCATGCCTCTTCCTGCTCCACGCTGTGCAAAAGATGCGCATTCGCTCACATCTAAGAGAGTCTCTCAATAACCATTATTTTATTTCCTTCAAGAACAATACATGACGTATAAACTCTACTTAGGTGTATCGGGTGTATCGTTACTGTGCTGTGGTCAGAAAGGCGTGGCGTAACTTATAGTCAAATATCTCCTAAACTATTGAACATAGATTCTCCAACGTTAGCACAATGACTTATATCAATTTGTGTTAACTGATGAATATTTTTTCAAACACCTGTACGTACACTGTATTCTAGAAAATTCCTTTAATAAAAATACTTTTAAAAATTCAAGTCGATGGTTTCTAGAGCTTTTAAAGAGTTTACAGTTCGGGCAATACCGCTTTTAAAAGCAAGTGTCATTGTTTTCCAATCGCGACTGGATGCTTATTGAACACATGTTTTGAGAACCTTTAGTGTAAAAAAATATATAATTAATTTCTTATAACAAGTTTTGCCACAAAAAAGTGTCATTGGTGAACTGTGACGTAGGCCATATGCGTATACAAAATGTGTGCAAGAAGCGGGAAGTGTTGTGAACAATCCCATTTTCCGCGTGACTGAGATTTATATTATTATATATAAATTTAAGAAGAAAAGTTTTTCAATCTAATCTCAACTGTTATGGAAAAATATGATTAGGTTAAGACAAATTGATAAAGGCTGCTGTGCAAAATGTGAATGATGGTGATTCACCCGTTTAAGAGATTTTTGAAGAAATGTTGCGCAACGAATTTTTGAACGCACTAGACTATAATATGTGCACGTCTGCTTCTGGTGGGTAATAACCTTACAGAATCCAGGAAGGGAGACACGGGGAAAGGATGTGTGTGTGCGTGTGTGTGTGTGTGTGTGTGTGTGTGTGTGTGTGTGTGTGTGTGTGTGTGTGTGTGTGTGTGCGTGCGTGTATGCGTTTGTGCGTATATCTATGAATGTAAAAAAGCCGATCAGCTCTGAAAAGGGTGTGCCAAGTATTGTGCACTGTCGTGAGGCAAAAGAGTGGGTATAATGATTAAACCAGCCTCTCGAGCACCGTGCAATGCAGTGCGGAGCGGTGTGGTGTGGTACAATGCTAAAAAAGTGCAAGGAAATTTGCAAGAGACTCTCAGAATCGGCTTTGTTCACAGGCTCAGAAGACACACTGACTGGCTAACAATCATAGAATAAATCATGCGTGGGACAACTGAAAAAAGAACCAATCAACTGTCTATCTAGGAGACTCACTACCTTCACAACTGGCCTCCCATCGTCAGAAGCATTCTTGACTGCAAACAATACAGAGAGTGAAGGGTCATTGATAGAAAGGACCTTTAAAGTTCTAAAATAGCAAAATAGGTAGGGACTTTATGCCATGGAATGTTACATTTACCCTGTGGTAAATGAATCATAAACAACGTAATCTTTAAACAATAGCTCTAGCACAAATGCATGACAAATCCCAGTGTAGTCTGCTGGCAAGCGAAAAGAAAAATTAATCATAATCAAGCAAAAACATCAATAATATTATATATAAACGTCTCCCTTTAATAACAGCTATGTGACCGGGATGTAATATGCTTTCGGCACCATAGTTAGGCTAGAACACTCTAACATAATGTCAACATTCTGAAAAGCACCGTTCTTTTTCTTTAATCTCGCCATTATAAGGACATTAGTGAACCGACACTTTACAGCAGGCTTCGAATAATTATAATATAGAGATAGGTCTTATATTATTTTCACAATTAAGTAGTCTGGGTATTCCCGTAAACTATAAAAAGAATGCTAACAGTGCTCGTCTAAAGCACCACTTTTATCGTAAAAATGGATATTCCCGTAAGCTTCAAAAAGAATTTTAACAGTGTGGGAGTCTATAGCATCTGTCTGCTTTTGTCGTATAACCGGGTATTTCCTCAAGCTACAAACAATAATAATTATTGGGAGACGAGAATTTAACACATATTGATGGTATTGAGTTTACTCGTGAGAGTCTACAGCTCTTCTTTTAAACAAGATATACATTTTTAAAAGCCCATTCATGGAATGTTTTAGATATATCAATAATCAGAAGCATATATCATTGCACATAATTGGTGGTAATTTAAAAAAAAGGTTCAGTCAGCACTTAGAGTGGTATGCCATAGCTCAGACGAATGGCTCATATCTATCTACAAATAGGCCATACTTGTGGTAAGACATGTGGTTAAACTAGCAACAAAACTTCACTCTCAATTCTCAAACTGACTGGTCCATATTAAAAAAAGAAGAAAAAAACAAAAACAAGAATAAAAAGACTATGGCTTTGTGGAATGTCTTAATGTGTGTGTCTTCAAGACTCAACATATGAATCTACCAAATGAAACAAGAATTTCAGTCTTGCAGTAAGTCAAAAATAGCCACAGGTCCCTTGTAACAATACTCCTAAACCATCAAAATATAAATATAAAGTGGGATAGCCCAATCTACATTTCAATCAATCTTTTGACTTGGTGAGGGCAATGACCACGCCTAAACGTTAAAAAGAACAGACCCAAATCTATGAAGGAGCATCAACACTTTACTCTAAGAGACTATTAGTACCTTCCTGGGCCATTGTCTGGCGCCCCTTAAACATCCTGAAAAGATTGTGTCTATAAAGGACAACTAAAACCCAAAAAGGTTAAGACTGTAAAGAACAGCTAAAGCTCAAAAGGGCGGGGTCTGTTTAGAACAGCTGAAGTCTAAATCTGTTTAGGCCAGCTAGAACTTATTCTCTTTAAGAGCAGCTTGAGTCTGAAAGGATTATGTCTGTTGAAAACAGCAAGAATGCGAGTCTTAGAAAATAGAGAGTCTGGATCTGTTTAGAACATAATATAGAGCCCAAGTTTTAGAACAGTTAGAGTCTGAAAGGGTTCAGTCTCTTCAGAACAGTTAGAACTCAGTCAGTTAAGGGTCGGTACAGACTGTTGAGAACAGCTAGAGTCTAAGTCTTAGAACAGCTAAACTCTGAGTCACAGAAGAACTAGAGTCTGAAAGGGTTGGGTCTATTGAGCAATCTGGGCGTGGTTTCCATGACTCTCACCAGAAGGTCGTCGATGTAGTTCTCCAGGTCCTTGATGTACTGGTCCTTGCGGATCATTTGGGCCTTTGTCTGGATCATCACACGCAGCAGTTCCTGGGGGTGGTAGAGGGAGAGGGGTGACGTAGATGGGAAATGGGAGATATAGGGAGGACGGAGGGGGAGATATTGAGAGGAGAGGGGAGATATAGGGAGATAGAGGGGGGAGGTGAAAAAGAGGAGAGTAACGGAGATATAGGGAGGAAGGATAAGGTCATGCTGGGAGACTGGGGAAGGGATGAGAGAAGAAAGGTGTGACAAGAGAAGAGAGTGGTGAAAAGGAAGAATGGGAGTGGTAAGAGCCTAGAGAAAGATGGGTGAAAATTGGGTGATTAGAGAAGGACAGGTCAAAGAAGGAAGAGAGAGTGGTAAGAGAAAGATTGGTGGAAGGGGAAAGGGGCAGGGAATAAGAAGGGAAAGATACGTGAAAGAGGGAGGAGGGGATGACAAAAGAAGGATGAGTGGAAAAGGAGAACGGGGTGAAAAGAAATGGAGGAGGAGGGAGGGGGTGATGGGACGATGGAGGAAAGAGGAAGGCGGAAATAATAGCACACGTTAAGGAAAGGGAGGTGGCAAGTGATGATGGGAGAAATGTTGAAAGAGGAAGGAGGAGAGTGACATAGGGAAAAGGAAAGTATGGGGCTAGGAAGTTAAAAAGGGAGCATATGAAGTGGGATGGGAAAATGGATGACATGGGAAAAGCAGCTGGGGTGGATGGTGTGTAATGGAGGGGACTGGGACTTTAAAAAAGGACATAGGTGAAAAAAGGGTAGGGGAAGAGAGGGAGATAGGTTTACGCGATTGCTCAAGACTCATTTGTTTAATTTTTAGTTATAGTGTGTTAGTAAGTTCTGATCTTTTGAATATACATTATATAAACCGTCCTTTCGTGTATAGTTAATGTTTGATTGTGAACGTTCTTCTTTATGTGGTTGAACTGGTTTTTCTTGTTTTTGCAAAACATTTTTTCTTGTGTGAATGATTATGTGATTGGTGTAAAGCGCTCAGAGCTTATACTAGTAGAGGATAGAGCGCTATATAAATGCAATCTGTTATTATTATTATTATTAT